TATGTCAGAACCTCACTAAGGGCCTCTCATGGATCATCTGAACGCGGTGCAGCTGAGAGTGGTAGGCAGGCAGCTTGAGGTAGGAAGGGTACGTATGCGAATTTAGAGTCACTCCTGTACCAGAGACCTGTGGCCAGAGAGAGCGGTTCACCCCGCCTAGGTCTCACAGCTGTCTCCTCCTGAAGCCTCACACACTGGAACCAAGTGGACAGTTAGGATGAGACCGAAGCCGAGGCCTTTGGAGAGCTGTGAGTTGCAGTATGTACCCTTTGCTAGATTCACCAAATTTTCTTCATAAAACATTGTTACTGTTGGTGTGTGTGAATGCATGCGGGCACATGTGCGGTGCGGCACATGTGGAGGTCAGCAGACAACTTAAAAGTAGTCTTTTCTTCCACTGTGGGTTCTGGGCTCAAACTCAGATGGTCAGGTTTACATGGCGAGTGCCTCTACGTGCTCAGTTCACCAATTTTTGCTATATGTTCCTTTATGCTGTCTGTCGACACACATCCACACACAGACAGTGTGTGTGTGTGTGTGTGTGTGTGTGTGTGTGTGTGTTTATGCACGTGTGTGCCTATGTTCATGTCCACAGAGGTCTTTGAGTGTTAGACTCTACTACTCCCCATTTAGCTCACCATCTTGGCTAAACTGGCTGGTCAGTGAGCTCCTGGGTCCATCTGTCCCCACCCACAGTTGCTGGGGTTACAGACACACATCACCACATTTCTCCTTTTTTTTCTTTTTTTTAACCTAGGTGCTCAGAATGTTAGCTCAGGTCCTCCTGCTTGGGCAGCAGGTGCTCTTAGCCCTGAGCCATCTTCTCAGCCTAAAACGATGAAAACTTAACTACAACTGTGGAGCTTGTGCCTCTGAGAAACCAGTGATGAGTCTGGAGCTACGGCTCAGACCTTAAGAGCACTGGCTGCTCTCTCTGAGGCCCCAGGTTTGGCTCTCAGACCCCACATGTTGGCTCACAGCTGTCTGTGACTCCTGTGTCAGGGATCTGAGCTGTGGAGATACCGCACACACATGGTGCCCAGCCGTAGACGCAGGAAAAACACCATCCACATAGAGCTGGAAAACAGAAACAACCCCACAGGAGACTTCCTGAGGAAACCACAGTGTCATCATTACACTCAGCGTGTCTGACACGAACACAGTATTCTTGTGTATTACATGATCTCCAGCTGCCCAATAATGTTCCTGAAAGCTCTGCCCTCTGCTCATAGGGTGCAGCTCAGAGCAGGAACTCAAAGCCAGGCTCTGCCTTGGAGTCCCTTCATAGCCTTGGGCAGATTGCTTTGCTTCCCCGAGCCTCAGCTGCCTCATCTGTAAAATGGAAATAATTCCTACCTTGCAGGCTTGTGAGGTCTAAATTTAAATATGACAATGGATAGAACATGGCTGGTTCCATACCCGGCAGTTAGGAAATGCCACAGCAGCAGTCATAATTATCATTGTTCTGCAGCATGGCCTGGCTTCACACAGCAGGAAGGAACTGGGACAGCTTTGAATTTGGATTGGCATCCTCGGAACAAATTCTTAATCCCAAGCTCACCCCCCAAGAATGGCACTACACCCTGAAAACTGGGTGACTCGCCTGTGCCGTCATCAGGAGCCAAGTTGTTACAGCTTAATGACCGAGAATGGAGCAGATGGAATTTTTCTGTGGTGCCCTTGTTTATTATGTCCCTGGAGGACCTGAGGTGCCACCCTGTGTGGGATTCTAGCAAAAGCTATGCCTCAGGCCTACCTCCCTCTCCCTGGCCCAGAGCACAATTTTACTGATTTACTGGAGGGCAACAGAGAAGCCCAGATAACCTGGGTCAAGTCTTGATTCAGGCTGGAAAAGCTGGGCGGTCACCTGCCAATGAAGCCTACAGCGTTGGTGGGGAGTGGCTCCTTTGCAGAGCTGGGGAAGAGCATGAGTGGTGTCTGTCTGTCCTCATCACAAGCTGATCAGTCTGTTTCTCAATGCCTGCCACAGAGAGATGGCAGCTATTATTCAGTCAGTGCCTTGCCCTCCTCTTCCAGCTAACTCCTGTTCATCCTTTAGGACCCAGGTGCAGTGACTTCTCCCAGAGCTAGTCCCTGTGCTTTTATACACACGCACATGTGTGCGCATGTACACGCACACACGTGCTCTGCTACTCCCTGCTTTGAGTTAAGGCCCTGGGTCTTTCCTTCTCTCGTCTCTAAGCATCTGGAGGGCAGGAGGCAGTACATGGTACAGTCTGTAATCTTCGGTTAGCACTCTAGAAATGTTTGTGTTTGAACCTATCTTTGTAGCCCATCATAATATCGTATTTGTGCTATTGGCTGTGTGTAATGTCATTTCCTCAGGCATTTGGTTGTCTCTGGCTGAGAGGACCCTGTCTTAGTGGCCCCCTTTCTGTACCTCCACAGCCTGAGCCTAGAACAGAGCATTGTGTGTGGAGTACAGCCTGATCTCAAGAATCCTCTTGAGTCTAGGTAGTGGTCTGTGCAAGACTGTGGACCTTGGCAGTTTGGGAGGCCTCCTTTCATTATGACCCAATGTTGGACTCTCTATTTTTAAATTATTACAGATTTCATGATGGAGCTGCAGGGTGTAGCTCAGTGGCAGAGTGTGGGTTTGGCATGCATGGGGCCCTGGTTTCGATCCCAGCACAATCGATCAATAGGTGATTCATAGACAAGAAAACCATAAAGAGCTATATAGAGCATGTGACAGCATCTTGGTGCTATGCGCCTGTGTTCCCAATGCTTGTAAGCAGTCAGACTAAGAGCTGAAGGCCAGCCTGGGCTGTCTAAGAACCTGCTTCTTAGAAGAAGAAGAAAGCCTGGCTTGCTGATGTCACCTTTATCCCAGCACTTGGGAGGCAGAGGCAGGGGGATCTCTGAGTTCGAGGACAGCCAGGGCTACACAGAGAAACCCTGTCTTGAAAAACAAAACAACAACAACAACAAAGGAGGGTAAGGAGTGTGTAGCTTGATAGAATGCTTGCCTAGCATACATGAAGCTCTGGGTTCAATCCCAGCACTGAAAAGAAAAGAAAAAGCAGGCGTGGTAGTGCATGCCTATAACCCTATCACTGGGGAAGTAGAAAGGTGTTCAAGGTCATTGTCTGGTACATAGTGAGTTTGAGGTTTCAGGCCATATGATAGCCTCTAAACAAACAAATGGGAGAAAGAAAATTCGAGACTCTCAGAGCAGTGGCAGCAGAACAGTAAGGCCCAGCGCGGGGCCCTCCAGTGCAGGCAGCCACCGTCATACCGCGTCTACCCAGTGAGGCACACAGCTCAGGCTCCTTGACATGCTGTGGAATGAAGCACATGGGATGGTGACCAGCCTTGGGTTACACTGCTGGCCAGCTGTCGGGGACAGACGCCAGCTCCTGGAGCATGGAGGTATCTGATGCACGAGAGCTTCTTTCCATGTAGACTGTGGGACCGCTGGCCTGAGTTTTAAAATGGCAACTAGGATAGCTGGCTGGGAAGGCCTGTGCTGTCCTGGCCTTCTGATGCCTTCACTTGAAGCCACAAAGTTCCCCTCTCCTCCTTAGAACGTCCTGAGCCCCGTGGACAGGGGGGACAATTAGTGGTCATGGTAGTTGAAGAAATAAAAGCCCCTCAGAAGTAGGAGGAGGTTTTCTTTTCATCTCTTTTTGAAGGAATGCGAGGACTTGGGTGGGAAGTTCCCCAGGGTTCCTTGGTATTTCAGTGCTTTGATATCTGGAGGAAGAAGAGAGCAATTAATTGCTATAAATGGCCTGTTCCTATAGGGCTGCCCTGATGGTGGGTGGGGGTGTCAGGCAGGGTGCTAGCATGATCCTCCCAGCCATCCTCTAGATGGAGGGACCCATCCAGCGGTGCCTGACTTGGAGAGGCTGTTGGAGTACCACTTTGTGGGGCTGGGAAGATGGTGCAGTGGGTAAAAGCAGGTGTAGTGTAGACATGAGGATCTGAGTTCAATTTCCCATGGCCACATGTGCGCATTGTGGGGTGGGGCGAACAGAGATGGGCAGTTCCTAAGAACCTATCAGCCAGCCGGCCTAGCCAAAATGGTGAGCTTCAGGATCAGCGAGAGACACTTGACTTAAAGGAATGAGGCTAAGGGTGAGGGAGGGAGACACCCTACACCTTCCTGTGACCTCCACCTGCATGTTCAAGTGCATGATCATAAGTGCCCTGTGTGTGCGTGTGTAGGTCTCTGTGTAGAAGCGTGCCTTCCTCGCTTCCTCAGCTTCTTGACAGCTTTGTCTTCAGAAAGCTGCTAGGGAGATGTTCCCAGGCTCAGAACACATTGCCCTCAGGCTTGGCATGGATGAGCAGGGTTGAGCCTGGCTGGGACACAGAGGCTCACCAGCTGGGTGTGGCCTGGAGGTCTCCACAGTAGGCCACACCCCCACCAGGTTGGCCAGTGCGATGAGGTTGCTGGGGAAAGGCCAGAGAAGCCATGTTCTTTGGTTCTTGGAGGAGGTGTGTTGGAGTAGAGAGACTGCGGCCAGCCTCAGTTGTGACTCCTGCGTGTGTGACATGTGTCTGCTCCGTGGAAATCGGCAGGTGTCAACTGTGTGCACAGATACACACAGCTGGAGCACACAGGAGGCAGATGGGGACCTGGCCTTGTTGACTAAGGTGATTGGTGGGTGGGAGGTCATCTCATGCAGAGGCAGGGACTTCCCCATCGTGTCACACTGAGTCATTCTGGTCCCATGTCTGTAGACAGGGTGGCCACCCAGGGGAAGAGGGTGTGTTGTCTGGAGCAGGCAGACCTGCCTCAGCCGGAACTGAGAGGCCGGGCGCACAGTCAGCACCCTGTCTTGGAGGTGCTGGAGCAGGCTCCTGGGCTTGCCTGACACACAGGTATTTCTGGACTGAAACAGAGCCCCTGGCCACAGGCTCTGTGCCAGCGGTTGTGTTCCCTCAGCACGGGGGCGTGTGCGCCAGGTCCCACTGCAGCAGCCACTGGGCCCTTTTGGCTCCTCCCATGACCATGTTCTGTGTTTCCACAGGGCGGCACCTTCCTATTTCTTCTCAGCCACAGCCCTCCCCTTAGAGTTGAGCATCTATTTGCCTGAAGTTAATTTCCAGAAGCAGGTAAGGACCTGAAGGGAAGGCTCTGTCCTATGGCCATGGGACAGTGCTGGGGGGAAAAGGGGAGCTCAAGACCAGACTCAGGATTCAGCACCCCAGAGACACCTGACTGCCTTTCTCGTGGCCCCACATGATGCGTGTTTCTTCCGGGGGGGGGGGTTCCTTTTCCTCCCTGTTTTTCCCTTGCACTGTTAGGAATTGAACCCAGGGCCTTGTGCATGGTAAGGCACAGGCTGTGCCACTAAGCTGCCCTATCTGGTGTGTGGATTCCTACAGCCAAGGTCACGGTGCTGCCGATTTTCCAGGCTGAGATTTGAGCGGACTCTGGCTTAATAAATGTAAATATGTTGCTGTTGCATATGACAGGGCGGGGGAGCAGTGACAGGCTGCAGGTCCCCTGCGTGTGAGGTCTGGGAATTGAGCTCAGTTCCCCAGGCTTGTGCAGCAGGCACCTTTCGCTGCTGAGCTGTCTTGATTGCCCGCGGTTAGGAGTTTGTATGGACTCTATGATGTTTTTTGTTTTTGTTTTTGTTTTTCTGTAAACCCTGTGAGAACATGTATGCATTTAAAAGTTGCAGAGATGTTTGTTAGTGTGATGTCCTGCAGGTGGCACCTTGTGCGTGTTAAGGAAAGGTTTTACCACTGAGCCACAGCCCCAGATTTCATGCCCTTGTGGGTGGGTGTGTCTATGTCTGGAAACAGGGTCTGCTGTAGCCCAGGTTGGCCTCAAATCCTCAAATTCACTATGTAGCTGAGGATGACCTTGGAAGCCCTAATCCCTGGGCTTCCGACTCCCAAGTGATGGGATTGTAGGCATGTGCCATTAGTTCCTTTTTTTTTTTTTTTTTTTTTTTTTTTAATGGTTTCATGCCTTGAAAATTATTTTTGAGCCAGGCATGTCTTTTATCCCAGCACTTGGGAGGCAGAGTTAGGTGGATTTCTGTAAGTTTGAGGATAGCCTTGTTTACACAGTAAGTTCCAGGGCAACCAGGGCTATGGAGAGGCATTCTGTCTCAAAACATAAAACATTATTTTTGATTGTCATTTTATAGCTAGGCTGACTTGAAACTCACTATATAACCCAAGGTAGCCCAAGCTAGAGGGAAGCCTTCATGCCTCAGCCTCGTGAGTCATGAATTACAGATGTGAGCCTCCATGCCCAGCTCTCATGCTGTGTGTTTTTGTTTGGGGTTTTTGAGAGTAAGTCATGTCTGTGGCTGGCCTGGGACTCAGTGTAGATGAGGCTGTGTCAAGCTCGTGGTGTCCTCCTGCCTCTACTTCCCAAGCACTGGGATTACAAGTGAGGGCCACCACACCTGGCTTCCTAGGGTGTTTTAACATGAAAGGCAAGTAGTACAATCCAGAGGGAGTGACCCTGGTGACCTCGAAGGGCCCATTCTGGCCTAGCTTAAGGTTTCTTTGTTTGCTTGCTTGCTTGTTTATATTTTTCTAAGCAGATGCAGGACCCCATGGTTATAAACCAATACTTGCTTTCTTATAAAAGTGAGTGTGCAACAGCATTAGCTTCAGGTTTATAAATAAAAATGAGCACATGAGGCTATACTCCAGGGCCACTCAAGCAGGTCAAAGGGAGGCCAGCTTGTCAGGCTCCTTATCAGCACTGATAGGGACCCACACGGCAGCACACGGCAGTGCTGGCCTCCCACGGTCTTGGCTTCTCCATGGAGGTCTGGACAGAGGCTGGGTGGGAATGTGACCGCGATGTCCTTGCTGTCTCTCCCCTCCAGCCTGTCTCAGCCTGTGATCCTCACGGTTCCCTCCCAGTGTGGATCCTGCACAGGGATTGGGAACCTCTTCTCACTGCTGTCTCCTGCCCAGCCATCCGTCCTGCAGAGGGGAGGCTCAGAGTTACCGAGTGCCTGTCCTGTGTCCTAATCCTCAGTGTTTGTATTGACTCTGACTGGGCATTTTTTGGCAAGGTGGCACTAAAGCACAGCCTGTGGTTTATAGTACCTGATAAGAAACCACAGGCCTCGCCCCTCCCAACATTTGCATAATTGACAGTTGCCCGTTGTTTCTTTCCATTTTCCTTTTTCTGGTTCATCTCTCACTCTTCAGACATTTTCTTAGTGGAAGGGAAGCCCTGCCCTGTTTGCAGGGGTGGGGTGAATGTAGGGATGGCTGAAGCCATTACTGAGATGTGTTGTTACTTTTGATTCTTAGGTCCAAACTTGGATGAATAATTAGTATCTAAATTAATTGCACTTTGAGCTTATGTAATTTAAGCACATTTTAATGGAGACCAGTTCTTGATCCCTACAGGGGAAAATAGGAAACCCCCACTGACTTTAATGTAGTACTCGACAGAATCATGATGAAAATTTAATAACATACTCGTTTGGATAGGCAGCAAACCCAAGCACACTGTAATGTGCTTGCAGCACATTTGTCTGAGTTGGTTATGATTTAGTCTCTTCAATTATTAATTCTCTGTGCGTTGACACCCTTACTGTGAATTAGAACAGAATTGCATCAGTTCTGACGCTTTCCAGAGTGTTTGGCCTGGCATGTGAAGGGCAGGGACCTGTGCTCCACTTTCTATCCCAGATCCTGCCTGGGTGTGCCTTCCCATCATGCAGCAGGGCTCAGTCAGCAACGCAGGGCTGGAACAACACCAGTGGACAGAACCAGAGTTCAGTCCCTGGGAAAGAACTGGAAGTCGTCCTCTGTCCTTCACACGTATACTGTGGTGAGCATGCAGACGCGTAAATAAAGAAATGAATGTGAACAGAGCACTGGGTGACAATTTTTAGAAATGCTGAGTCAAGATTCTTCTGAAGTATAGGAAACAGCTTTGTGCTAGGCAAGTGTGTTGAAGTAAGAGTGACCTGACTCCAAAGACCCCATTGAGCTCTGCTGCTGAAAACCCCGAAACTTCACAGCAAGCCTGATGAGTAAAGAGGATGGGATATGCCAGTCTGTGGGGTGTGCAAGGCTAAAGCTGTGGGTCAGGGGCTGGCGAGATGGCTCAGAGGTTGAGAGCACTGGCTGCTCTTCCAGAGGTTCTGAGTTCAATTCCCACAACCACATGATCTAGATGCTCACATCATCTAGATCTGGTGCCCTCTTCTGGCCTGCAGGTGTACATGCAGACAGAACATTGTATACATAATAAATTAAAAAAAAAAAAAAAAAAAAAGGCTGTGGGATAGAGTTCTGTAACATACACCCTGTGTAAAATGGCTGAATAATGACGTTCCTCCAGCTAGCCCTAGCCAGACCACTGTCCTGTAGGAGCAGCTCTCTAGGGGTCCTGGGGCATGACAACACTAACTAGACCACTGTCCCATAGGAGCAGCTCTCCGAGAGAATAGATATGAGTTCCTGGGACCCACTGTGATTACAGTGTGCTTTGGAAGAGCTTCCTGGGGGAATGACAGCAGGAATCCTCTTGGGTTAGCAAGACACCCTGAAAACTCCAATGCTTTTGTGTATGGCGACACCTAGTGGCTGCTGCCTTGCATGCCATGCAGCTTTCTTAGGGGTATGACCCACTGAAAGCTAGCCCTTGAGCACTGAACAGAATTGGAAAATTTTGCCCATGGGAGCTCTGATTCCCAGTTTGAAGGCTTCATGGAACACTTATGATGTTCGCTGGAAGTCACAGGGGCTCAGGCCACACTAAGCACTTTGAGAGGGGGAGAGTCCTTTGGGAAAGCCAAATCTGGTTGTAGGAATCTGAGTTAAGTTTCTTCTCTTCTCTTCTTTCTTCCTTCCTTTCTTCCTTCTTTTCTTTCTTTCTCTCTCTCTCTCTTTCTCTCTCTCTCTCTCTCTCTCTCTCTCTCTCTCTCTCTTTCTTCCTTTTTTGTTATTTTTAGTTTTTGGGTTTGGAGACAGGGTTTTTCTGTGTATCCCTGGCTGTCCTAGAACTCTCTTTGTAGACCAGGCTGGCCTCGAGCTCACGGAGATCAGCCTGTGTCTGCCACACCCAGCTTACTTAAGCCTCTTAATACTATGACCTGGTTCCAAATTGGTATGTGTACAGCAGAGGGGGATGTGACACACTGAAGACTATTCCCCTGTTTCATTCAACCGGGTGGACAGTGCTTGTTAAGAGCCTGCTGGGTACCAGGCCCTGGGAAGATGCAGCCTGGCCTTCCATCAGAAAACGGAAGAGACAATAAGCAGACACTCCGACAAGACACAGAAAACTAGGACAGTGAGACAGGGCTATGTGACAAGAGGTGATGGCACAGAACTGGCTCCCCTGGAAAGGCACCTTGAGGCTGGGATGAAGCCAGTTCTGGGCCCAGGGGTTGATACCCAGTGTAGAGGCTGGCCAGTGAAGGAGTAGGGAGAGCTGGGCTGCTCAGGGACCAGGGCTGATCACACTGGGCCTTGCCAGCACCAGCCAGCACTAAGAAATAAGAAATGTATTTTCAGGTAGGACTAGGCTGCGGATGGTGTCATTCCTCCTGACCTATGTGGATTGTTGTAGTCCCTCTGTAGGGGAAAGGACAGTGGAGGACGTGAGTGGCCTATGAGGCCCAGGCCACATGGAAGCATTAGGAAAGAGGTGGGGCCATAGCATCCATACTCAGGGTCTGGGCAGGGATCACCGAGAAGCCTTGTTCAGTCTGTCCCTGACCAGCAGTGCTGGTATGTGAACAGGTGGGAGGGAGAACAGGTTAAGTGAAGGAAAGCTGCCCTAGAACCTTGCTTTCCTGCTGAGTTCTGTGGCAAGTGCGGGTCCTCTGCAGGCTGCTGTGTGCCCTGGAGATTATGTGTGAGGCCACTGTGCCTTTTTCCAACCCCTAGTAGTTACTTTGGCCCTTTTCTGAGCCCAGGATGAGTCGGAAGGGGTGGACCACAGAAGAAAGAAGTTGGATTCTAGGGTTCCAAGGGTGGATACAAAGACTCCAGTAGCCCTGCACTGTGTCAAGTATACAGGCATGATGTCAGCCCCAGCTGGCCAGGTTTTTAACCTGTTGTGTGGGCTCTCAGGGCGAGGGCCCCATTAGGCTTTTGAGCAGCTGACGAGTAGATACTCAGAGCTGTTCCCCAGGCTCTGGCACATTCCCGGGTACGCCCTTGGCATGGAGTACTGCCTTGTCCAGCATATCCCTGAAGGACTCCTGGGCCACTGAGCGTAGATGGTGTAAGGAGTGTCCGGAGCCTGTCGGCCGGGTTCCCTCATTCCCCGAGTGCAGCTCCCTGGTAGCAGGGCTGCTGAGGCTCCACCCCACCAGCTGCTGCGTTATTTCTGACTTGTCCAAGAGTTCAAGTGTGTAACCCAAACCCCTCGATCCTGCCTCCTCTCCCTCAGCTTCTTCTGGAGGAGGAGGCTCTGGGCTTCTCTCTCTTGGGCTGGCTGTAGCTCAGGCCAGAGACACCTGGACACAGCCACTGGCCTTCACAGTTGTCTTCAGGAGCTGCCTGGCAGGTGGGGTGGGTGAGTAAGGGTGGCAGCGGCAGCTCTGCCAGTGCATAGCCTGGGCGGACACCCCTGGAGAGGGACTCCCCTGTGCCTTGCCCAGGAGCTGGCCTCTTGAGTTCAGCAGTGGCTTGCATGGGGCTCTCACTGCTTCGGGAGCTGTCTGTCACTGATCTCCCAGTTTCTTGAGCCAAAGGCCCCACCTTGCCACTTCTGATCAAGCCCTTTTACTTCCTGTGCATGTCGCTTCCGTTGAAAACCTAGGACTCTTGGGGCCTCATTCCTCATCTCTCCTGTGGCTCCTAACAGAAACCTTGGCCGTCCTCACAGCCCGGGCCTCAGCTCAAGAAGTATTGAGGCCCTGCCGCCTCCTCTACAACCTCTCTTGTGCTGTCAGAAATGAGGTCCCTGTGGGGGACTACTTGAGAAAGGGGTGCGTCACCCACAGGTGTCAGTATTAAAGTGTATCATGGAATTCTCCAACACCTCTCATCTCCTTGCAGGTGTCCCCAGAGCTGGGCCAGGGGGATGAACCGCGAGGGAGCACCCGGGAAGAGTCCGGAGGAGATGTACATTCAACAGAAGGTCCGCGTACTGCTCATGCTGAGGAAGATGGGGTCAAATGTGAGTTGCCTGTAGGATGTCAAACATCAGAGTACCTGCTACCCTGAAGGAGGGAAGGGGCAGCTGCAGCTTTCTCCTGGGTCTCCAAGAACTGGGGAGAAGGCTGTTGGGCCTGTGTGTTGTCTCTGTTGCCAGTTCAGGAGCCCTGAGCACAGAGCCCGGCATGGACAGTTTGGAGAGCATTGCTGAGATTATCTTCCCATTCCACTTTTTATTTTGAGCCAGGGATGGTGGGGAATTTCCCTTCTGACCCTCAGAGCCCTCAGAGAGGCTTCTCTCCTTGGGGCAGGTGAGGGGCAGCTGGGCAAGGTGGCCACCGAGGAGCGCAGGAGACAAGCAAGTGCAGGGGCATCTTTTGAAGAAAAAAAAATGGAGGGATTTGGGATTGCTGAATGGCCACTGATGTCTGGCCAGGGCCTGACGTTCAAACCTGCTGTACGCCTGAATAGACAGTGATCTGGACATGAAGTGAGTGGCAAGGCATATGAACTTCAGGGACCTGGTTTTCAGGTCGGAAGCAGGATAGCAGGGATAGAGAGCCAGGAGCCTCAAGAGGGGAGGCACTCGTGGCATCAGGTAGGGGCCTTTTGGGGAACAGGTGCTTGCTCCTCTCACCACAGCACTCTCACCCCGCAGCTGACCGCCAGCGAGGAAGAATTCCTGCGCACCTATGCGGGGGTAGTCAGCAGCCAGCTCAGCCAGCTGCCGCAGCACTCCATCGACCAGGGTGAGCCGAGGCACCAGCCAAGCCCTCCCCCGGGCACCAAGCAGTGGTTCTTTACAAAGCTGAATAGGTGACCTGGGAGTTTAGAGAAAAGACACTGCTGTTCCCTCTCATCCACAGTCTTCTGTCGTGTCCCGTCTCCTTCCTCGGGTGGGAGCCACGGATCCAGCCACGGCAGGCGGTTCCCCTTTCTAGGCCTGGAGGAGGGGGGAAATGGACATGGCTGTGGACCCGAGTAGTTGCCGATGGTGTGATTATTGCCTCCTTTAACCTTCGCCCTGACCCCTGTCCACTCCACCAGTTGAGGGACAGTGAAACTGCTCAGCCTGTTCCAAGAGCACTGTCCTTGTGGAGACAGCTGTGCAGTGACTGGGGGGTCTGGCAGTAGCAGGAAGGGATGGCTCAAAAGGATTGCTGTCTCCATATGCCCAAGGGAGTTCTGAGGGTCCTCACAGTCAAAAGTCCCACTGGAGTGTTTATTGTACAACAGGGGCTGGGCCAGAGATCGATACGTAGTCATTTGGAGTTACTTGTATGACTTCTAGTTAGCCGGCAGTAAGTCATTGTTCTTGACCATACAGAGGTGCCCAGGAATCAAGCCTGCTCCTCACCACCAAGGCTACTGGGCAGCTCCATGGCCCTTGCTGTTACAGAGGCTCTTCCTCTCTGAAGGCTCAGCCTCACTCTGCAGCACAGCACTGTGAGCAGTTGCTTCTCACACTCCTTTTCTGTTAGTCTTCTCAAGAGTTGGTGGGATTTTTCAGCTAGGCTATAAGATATTTTAGTGGCCCAGGCAGGTGGTGGTGTGGCACGGCATTAATCCCAGCACACAGGAGGCCAGCCTGGTCTACAGAGTGAGTTCCAGGACAGCCAGAGCCACACAGAGAAACCCTCTCTCAAAAAAACAAACAAACAAAAGATGGGCCACAGCATGCCTAGGCAGGGGCAGCCACCGGAGCAGTGTGTTTGCTGTGTTTGGGCTGCTGGGGAGGAAAGCAGGTTCAGCGCGCTGGGCCGCCGCCCTGCTTATCCTGCATGTTGTGGACTCGGCCACAATACAGGGCTGCTCCCCCAACACTGGTGCTTGGCGGGGCACAGCCAGCTCAGCAGAAACCTTCCAGGGAACTCAGGGAACTCAGAGAACAATTTGGGACAGCGCATGTATCATACGCAGCCTGCCTAGGCATGACTGCTCAGGTGGACTGCATGCTAGGCGGCTCCACAGCCAAGCATGTTTACCGTCTGCCCTACCTTACCACTGGCTCTTGGAGGAGTCCTTTTCTTTCCTGTGGCTGGTCTGGGTTTCCCCTCCTAGTTCCTAAGGCAGGTCCACCCTTCAGACTCTGAATTCCTGGGGCTTCCTTTCCTCCCCATGTGATCCTCAGCCACTGAGTTTCTGATTCTCTGTGTAAATGTCCCTAGAGGAGTGCCCATAATAGGTAAGGAACTATGGGAGCATGTCAAAATAGGGAACACCCAGCACATGTCCCCTGCCACGTACATTCAATCATTCGTGTGTGTGTGTATGTGTGTGTGTGTGTGTGTGTGTGTGTGTGTGTGTGTGTGTGTGTGTGT